TACTACGAGCTGATCTACAGAAATATCCTCCAACCAGATTATCACTATGCTGACCTTAGTCGATGCAAAATGCATGACCTATTAAGGCAGCTTGCTTGTCATTTATCCAGAGAAGAATTTTTGTTGGTGATCCAGATTCAGCAGGGGTTACTGTTATGAGTAAATTTCGCCGTATTTCAGCAGTCACTACGAATGATATGGTTATGTTACCTAGAACAGATAAGGGGAAATGTAAAGTGAGAACTTGGACAACATCTTATACAAAGTCTTTGAGAGTCAATGATACAATATTTGAAAGATTACCAAGCATTCGAGTTTTGGATTTGACAAATTCACAGATACAAAATGTTCCATCTTGCATTGGACGTTTGATCCATCTATGATTACTAGACCTTGATGGGACTGACATATTGTCAAGGGCAGTGAGCCCGAGGGTAGGAGGACCTCGGCTACGTAGATCGTAGCCGCTGTCCGTGATGGCCGGCCGGGTTATACCCCCTTGCCGCCGTTCTTCGTCGGTGGGTTATTCCCCCTGCCGCCGGCTTAGGTAGAAGAAGAGAGAGGATTAGATGGTAATATCTTTCTTAATTGCCAAGCGTTTGATTACAGCATATCTATAGCCTCCGGCTCAACAAAAAGAGTAACAAACTCCACTAATTAAGGACTAACCAAAATAGCTAAAAGATCTCCTACTTTCCCTCCTAGCCACTGCTGGAGGCCGTGCCCTGCGTGCTTGCCGTGCGTGCAGCAGCGCGTTCCTGGGCTCGGCGCATGTCACGGGCCCTATGGCGCCTGGTGTACACTTGTTTGAACATGACATCTCCCTCCCCGTCGAGAGCCAGCTCGTCCTCGAGCTGGAATTGGGGGAACTTGGTGCGGAACGGCGCGACGTCTTCCCAGGTTGCTGATGCTACCGACGTGCCCTTCCATTGGATGAGCACCTGATGTACACCGCGAGCCAGGCGGTACCGCACCGCGCGCTCGGGTTCTGGGCTCATGGCGCCATGATGCAGGAGCGGCAATGGTGGAGGCGCAGTTGGCGGCGGCCCCTGATACTTCTTGAGCAGCCCCACATGGAACACATTGTGGATGCGGGCGCGGGAACGAAGCTCCAGCCGGACGGCGACCTCGTTGATGAGTTCGACGACGCGGTACGGCCCGAAGAAGTGCGGCTTCAGTTTGCCGCCCACAGCCTGAGGAAGAGACGACGCCGCGCCCTGACGTAGGCGAAGCAGCGCCCAATCACCGACCTGATAAGTGACGTCTCGGTGCGCACGGTCGTAGTGGCGCTTTTGGTACGCCTGTGCCTGCTCCAGACGGTAGCGGATGTCCTCCAGGAACTCCGCGCGCTCCTCCATGCTCTTGGCGATGGCCGGCACCCTGGTTTCCCCGGGTTCATAGGACCGGATGGAAGGAGGATCACGCCCGTAGACCACGCGGAAGGGGGTGTCCCGCAGGGACGTCTGGTAGGCCGTGTTGAAAAGGAACTCCGCCCACGGAAGCCACCGGAGCCACTCGCGCGGCCTGTCTCCTGCCAAGCACCGCAGGTACATGAGGATGACGCGGTTGGCCGACTCGGACTGCCCGTCGGACTGGGGGTGAAACGCCGTGGTCATCTGCAGCTTGGTCCCCATTAGCCGCATCAACTCCTGCCAGAACGTCGACGTGAACACCGTGTCCCGGTCGGAGACCATGGACTGTGGAACACCGTGGAGGCGGACAATGTCGTTGAAGAAAGCCTGGGCGACGGATTCAGCGGAGTACGGGTGTGCCAATGGGATGAAATGGCAGTACTTGCTGAACCGATCCACCACGGTGAGGATCACCGACTTGCCGCGGACCCGTGGCAGCGCCTCCACAAAGTCTAGCGCGACATCAGTCCACACGCCCTGTGGAACCGGCAGTGGAAGAAGGAGACCCGCAGGATGCTGGTGCTCGGACTTGTAGCGTTGGCAGACTTCACACGTGCGCACCCGTTCCTGCACAACTTGCTTCATGTTAGGAAAATGGAAGTCACGACGCAGCCGGTGGAGCGTCCGCTGTACGCCTTCGTGTCCGTCCTCATGTATGGCCCCCACAATTTCTTGTAGCAGCGGGGAGTCGGCCGGGATGTACAGCCGCCCGGAAAATTGCACCATGCCGTCCACCCGCGCCCAGGGAGCTGGTCGGGTGCCCGCTGTGATCTCGCCATGGAGAGCAACAAGGGCCGGGTGGTCCAGCTGGGCCTGCCGGAGCTTGGCGATGAAGTCGAAGCGCGGAGCAGAGAGGGCAAGGAGCTCTCCCTCCACGGTGTCGCGCCTGGACAGCGCGTCGGCGACGGCGTTCGTCGCGCCTGGCTTGTACTCGACGGAGAAGTCGAAGCCCAGCAGCTTGCCAACCCAGTGGTGCTGCGGAATGGTGGCCAAGCGCTGGTCCAGCAGGTACTTCAAGCTGTAGTGATCCGTCTTGACGGTGAAACGGCGCCCCCAGAGGTATGGCCGCCAGTGGCGCACCGCCTGGACCAAGCCAATGAGCTCACGCTCGTAGGCTGCCAGGGCTTGATGTCGAGGCGCCACCGGGCGGCTGAAAAAGGCGATCGGATGCCCCTCCTGGATGAGTACAGCACCAAACCCGTGGGACGACGCGTCGCACTCGACGACAAAGGGCTTGTCGAAGTCCGGCATAGCGAGCACCGGTGCCGAGGTGATCGCCTCCTTGAGGGCGAGGAAGGCCGAGGCAGCCTCAGGACCCCATGCGAAGCCCTCCTTCTTGAGTAGCGCGGTGAGCGGCGCGGCGATGGAGCCGTAGTTGTGGATGAACTTGCGGTAGTATCCCGCGAGCCCAAGGAAGCCACGCACCGCCCGCGCCGAACGAGGTACCGGCCAGTCGTGAATGGCCTGCACCTTGGCGGAGTCCATGGCCACCCCGCCTCCGAGATCGTGTGGCCGAGGTAGGCGACAGAGGCGACCCCGAACGCACACTTGGAGCGCTTGACGAAGAGGGTGTGCCGACGAAGCGCGCTGAGGACGGCGCGGAGGTGACGCAGGTGGTCGGCCCATGACTTGCTGTAGATCAAGATGTCGTCAAAGAAAACAAGTACAAACCGGCGGAGAAACGGGCGCAAGACGTCGTTCATGAGCGCCTGAAATGTGGCCGGGGCGTTGCAGAGTCCGAACGGCATAACCAGGAATTTGTAGAGGCCGTCGTGTGTACGGAACGCCGTCTTGTGAACATCCTCCAGCCGCATGCGCACTTGGTGGTATCCCGAGCGCAAGTCGAGCTTGGTGAAGTACTTGGTGCCATGGAGCTCATCCAAGAGCTCGTCGACGACGGGGATCGGAAACGCGTCCTTGACCGTCACCGCGTTGAGGGCACGGTAGTTGACGCAGAATCTCCACGAGCCGTCCGGTTTCTTGACGAGAAGGACTGGCGAGGAGAATGCTGAGTCGCTGCGCCGGACGATGCCATTCTTGATCATGGTCTCGCACTGCTTCTCCAGCTCAGTCTTGTGGGCGGCCGGATATCTGTAGGGCCGCACTGCCACTGGCGCGGTGTCCGGCTTGAGGATAATGCGGTGCGCTCGGCCACGCGCGGGAGGTAGGCCCTTCGGCTCGGCGAAAACGTCGGCGAAGGAGGCAAGCAGCTCATCGAGGAGGGGCTCCGCCACCGAGGCAGAGTGGATGCGCGGCGGTGTTGGCGGTGTGACGCTGCGCCAGCAGACCTGCTGGTCCGCCACCCTGAACTCCATGGTCCCGGCGGCCACGTTCCAGACAATATCACCCAAGGTAGCCAGCCATTGAGTGCCTAGCACCAGGTCATAGCCGGCCAGGGGCATGATGTACAAGTCGACCGCGAACGGCCGGCTGTCGATGACGATGGGCGCCTGGCGCAGAACGCCCGGGCAGGCGATCCGTTCCCCTGGCTACCCGCAGTCGCGCACCGAGGTAAGGCTCGAGGCTCGGCAACCGAGCCCGGCCGTTGTCGCGGCCACCTCGCCGATGAAGCAGTGGGTGGAGCCCGTGTCAATGAGGGCGATCAACGTGGCCGCGCCCACCTGCACCTCGAGTTGGAGAGTACCGCACACTGGAACGCCGGCGACGGCGTGGAGGGAGTAGACGGGTGCCTCCTCAGCGGGCGCGTCCTCAGCCAGCTCGACGTCGTCGATGTAGAAGATGCGGCGGCAGACTCTGTTGTGGCCGCGTGAGTATGGCTCGTTGCAGTTATAACAGAGGCCGAGGCGGCGCCGTTCCGCCTGCTCCTCCGTCGAGAGGCGCTTGCCCCCGCTGCTTGGTGGTGGTGGTGGCGCCGGTAGTGCCAGGGGCTGTGCCTGGGGTGCTGGCAGCGCCTGGACCGCGGGCGCCGGCCGGATGGGCACCGGGAGGGCCGCCAAGACGCCTGGACGTGGAGCGGGCGGTGGCCCTAGCGCGCGCTGCGCAGCCTTGCCGGGGGTGGAGTTGAGACGGTCGAGCTCGACCAGTTCCAACGCCCGTGCCAGACTCATGGCTGCCGCGAGGGTCTCCGGCGCGTGGATGCGCACCTGGTGGCTGAGCGGGGGCAGCAAGCCGCCGGTGTAGAGCTGCACCCACTGGCCTTCCTCGAGCCGGCCCGCGCGAGGGAGAAGCGCCTGGAAGCGGTTGGAGTACTCCTCGACCGTCCCCGTGCGGCGGCACTCGGAGAGCTCGAACAGCGGGGCGGACCGCAGCACCGGGCCGAAACGCAGGTTGAGGAGTTCCTTGAAGCACCCCCATGGCGGCGTGCCCTCGTCCTCCTGAAGCTGGATGAACCACAGTTGGGCCACATCCTCCAGGTTGTACGACGCCATCCACACCTTCTCCTCCGGCATGGTGCGTTGCTGGCGGAAATACGACTCGCACCGATTGATGAAAATCAGTGGGTCGGACTTGCCGTCGAAACGCGGGAAGTCCATCTTCTGGAACCGCGGGGGGCGATCCGTGTGGTGCTGGCCGTCGTGGTGGGTGCTGGAGTCGGTCGACGAGCCGACCTTTTCCTTCATGCCCGCCATGTCGGTCTGCATCTTCGACATGTCGGTGGTCAGGGACTGGAGCATCTGCATCACATCGGCCATGGTTGGTTGCTCGCCATCGGCCATGGTTGACGGTGCGGACGTTGCCGTGGGCGAAGAGGAAGGAGATGGAGGCGGCAGCTGGAATGGTGGTGAGGCTGCGGTGGAAGATTGGGTGGAGGTGGTGGAAGAGGATCGACGAGACTGAGATACCAGGTTGTCAAGGGCAGTGAGCCCGAGGGTAGGAGGACATCGGCTACGTAGATCGTAGCCGCTGTCCGTGATGGCCGGCCGGGTTATACCCCCTTGCCGCCGTTCTTCGTCGGTGGGTTATTCCCCCTGCCGCCGGCTTAGGTAGAAGAAGAGAGAGGATTAGATGGTAATATCTTTCTTAATTGCCAAGCGTTTGATTACAGCATATCTATAGCCTCCGGCTCAACAAAAAGAGTAACAAACTCCACTAATTAAGGACTAACCAAAATAGCTAAAAGATCTCATACTTTCCCTCCTAGCCACTGCTGGAGGACGTGCCCTGCGTGCTTGCCGTGCGTGCAGCAGCGCGTTCCTGGGCTCGGCGCATGTCACGGGCCCTATGGCGCCTGGTGTACACTTGTTTGAACATGACACATATCTTCTCTTCCAGAGTCCATCTGTTGTCTCATAAACCTTCAGATATTGAATTTGCAGAGATGTGATTCTTTGCATAGTCTTCCTTCAGGAATAACTCAGCTATGCAACTTAAGGCGACATGGCCTAGACGGCACACCAATAAATGAGGTTCCAGAAGGTTTTGGCAGATTAATTTCACTCAATGATTTACAAGGTTTTCCGATTGGTGGTGGCTCCTGCAACAATTCTAGAATGCAAGATGGATGGAACCTAGAAGAACTGGATCCACTTTGGCAGTTGAGGAGGCTTTATATGATCAAACTGGAAAGTGCAGTTCCTCCTAGAAAAGATACATTGCTAGCAAACAAAAAAAACATCTCAGAGTATTATGGCTATGTTGCACTGAACACACACATGAGCCATATTCTGAAGATGCTGTAATCAGTATTGAGAAAACCTTTGGTTTGCTAATTCCTGCGCACAACCTGGAGCATCTCGGTTTTGTGAACTTCTTTGGTCGGAGGTATCCCACCTGGCTAGATAATGCTACTCAATTGCCTTCACTGACATACTTACACCTCATAGACTGCAAATCATGTGTGCATCTTCCACCAATTGGTCAGCTCCCAAACTTGAAGTATCTGAGAATCGAAGGAGCCACTGCAGTCACCAAGATTGGACCCGAATTTGTTGGCTCTGTGGTGGGTAATCTCAGATCTACAGAGGCAATTGCTTTCCCCAATCTTGAAGCATTAGTCGTCTGGAATATGCCCAAATTGGAGGAGTGGTCTTTTGTTGCTGAAGAAGAACAAGAAGCAACAATAGCAGGTACGGAAGGGGGACAGGATGAGGCTGCTGCAAATCAAAAGGGGGATGCCCCACTTCCAAGGATGCAATTGCTGCCACGACTGAAGAGTTTGGACCTTGACCGCTGCCCCAAACTGAGAGCTCTCCCACAGCAGCTTGGACAGGAGGCCACCAGCTTGAAGGAGCTCCATTTAAAATATGTGCATAGCCTTAAGGTGGTGGAGAACCTCTGTTTCCTCTCGGAGGAACTATTAATCGCAGTTTGTGAAGGCCTGGAGAGGGTCTCAAATCTTCCCCAAGTGAGAGAGCTGCGTGTACAGCGTTGTCCAAACTTGAGGTGTGTTGAGAGGCTGGACAACTTGCGCCAGCTGTTTCTGACAAAGGATATGTAAGGTGTCTCATCACATTAGCTGCCTGGACAGCAAGAGCAGCACCTACAGCTGCACGGAGAAGACATGGATGTCTACACTTGGATATAGTGAACATACAAAGATGCCCAATCAGAGATGGCTATGAAGATGTAAGCTATGACCATTGGCTGAATTTCTAATTTGGTTAGACGTACGTTTATCTTCTCTGCTTTTAATCATCCATGTCCGTTTCCTTTTCTTTAAAGGTCATCAGGCGTTGAGGACGGAACGGAAGGGTCGACTTGAGTCTGGAACTTGTCTCATTAATATCCATCAGGTGCCTTACACCTGGACGTCTGGATCATGCTGGGGCTGGGCTGGACAGTACGGACGCGTGTCTCGTATGTCGTCATATCTAGCCGATGCATGGAGTTGCAGAATTTGGTGGTGCTCTGCTTATCGAAGAAGGAGATGTTTGCCTGCTCAAGTGGCGCAATATTTTAACCAGTGTTTTGTACGCGTGCGCATCTGAATAAGGTCATGATATTTGCTCGTGTTTTTCAGTTTCGTTTTTTTTTAAGTTGTACGAAACATTACATCTGTTGCTTGGAGCCCCAGCGTGTGCTGTTGCTGCTACGTGAAGCGTGCTCGTGAATTCTGAGTACAAGCATCTCTGCAGGACAACAGCTGTTATTTTCCACTATCTTTAGAAAAACAGCTGTTCCTTTGGTATTTCCTTTGACCCTGGCTGAGGCTGCAGTTATTTTTTTTTCTTGTTCTGTGCTTTTTTGCTTTCGTCGTATAATAATTTATAAAAAATTATGTTAAATCTTTTGCCGAACTTTCAAAAAAAAAAACAGCTGACGCTAAGATGGGCTTTTTTTTTCATCGTCGCGTGCCCTGTGAAGGGCCGAAAAAAAGAAACCAGGTGCATTTTGTTTTAGAAATATTCTTTGTTTTTAGACCCAGGTGTATTTTGTTTCAGAAATATTCTTTTCTTTTGCAAGACCTAATTATAAATGCAGACGCTCGTATACACGAGCGCACATGTATTTTTATGAACGCACACACGCACACCCTACCCCTACGAGCATCTCTGAAGAACTGAGTTGAACCGGCAAATTTCGAGATTAATGAAGTCACCACAGGAGCCTCGTTGTCGACGGGCACGTCGGCTACCACTGAAAGAATAGCGCCGTTAAATCCTGTAATAATTTCAGAAAAATGCGAGCACCCGGTGGGCAGGTTCTGCCACACGGAACCCAACTAGCTGAGCTGCCCTCAGTTCGCTTGTTTCAGGAATATTCTGTGGATATGTTTTGTTTATATACATGTATGGCCAAACTTTAGTTTTGCGGGGAGAGCAAAAATTCATTTCTAATTTGGATCGTTGAATTAAATCAAAGGAACGTGATTGTTTGTCCCTGGTGAGGCGTCTTCCACGTGCATGTACATGAGCTCAACTTTTTCAAGCACGCTGTTATATGTGACCTGATCACAGTAGAATCGGAGGCCCTTAGTGACATTAGATTTCAGAACAATTATATTACCAACCGCCAGGCGTTATTGAAGGTTGAATTACCAAATCTAGGGGTCATTTTGAGAGGTTGTACTGTCACGTAGAATCACTCTCTTGTCCTGCTGACGGTAGTAACACTCTCCTGTTCGCTACTCTGTTTCCCACAAGTAAATCTGCTAACGGTAGACAAACAACAGAGAGGTGTTACATGGCAGCAAGGGCTACTGTTTGTAATGGTTGCAAGATGGTTTCTGTACAAAAATAACTGCATTCACATTTAACGGATCGAAATGAATCAGTGCGATCAGCATCTTTGAGAAAACACCGTAGATGAGGTCACGTGCCCCGGGCGTCGCTGTCGTGGATGTCGAAAGCTTCAGTTCGGGCGTCCACGGGCCGGCCGGCCGGCCATCCCCTTTATACTGGCGTCCAGGCAGTCCATTGTTTGAGTAAAATGGCCATTGACGAATGAGCGATGCGTGCAGGTAGCCTCGCAGGTTGCAGCTGCGTGCGTGCCCCATCTGCCGCAAATGGAAGGTTTTTTTTTTGTTTGCAAGCTCACATCGAATTTCACTGTGCTTCGAGGAGGTTTAATAATGTAAGGTGGAACTAGTTAGGGCGACATGTATAAAGCTACGGTAGACATGCTTCGGAAGCAAACTTCCTCCCTTGTGTATTACTAGTATATTTTATATATCGATAATGCTACTTACCTGACGTCCGGACGCATCGAATGCGGGCTCCACATCCCACCAAGCAGTCCACCGCTCACCTCCCCTCACGAAGTCTTATCCATTCGCTCGCGTCTTGTCCTGTGGCACCTCCGTCTCCTTTGTTCCCGTCTTCATCACCGGTAGCTGATCCTACACTGCGCCACGCCCCATCCCTCGCCATGCTTGCCCCATCCCTCGCCACGCCCGGTCCGCCATCATTTCGCGTCACATTTCCCACCAGGCCCCACTCTACCTCGCCCATCGCGGCTACGGCATTCACCGTGCCACCACCACCATGGTGCCACCAGGAGGAGGTCACTGCCGGTTTGGGACATCGTCTCCCGTGACCGACCGAAGAAACCGCGACACGAAGGTGAGGACTGTGGCGAAGGTGTACACTAGGACGTTGTTCTCGACGTTGACCTGACCCGAGCTTGTTGGCTACCACAGTTCCCCACCATGTTGGTCGTGGCTGCTGTCGATGTCGTGTTTCAAGTGCTTCAGGTGTTTCAGACGTATGTTTGAAGTGTTTCATCTGCATGTTGCATATGTTGCAATAGTTATATATGCATGTTGCAAGCGTAAGTTTCAAGTGTTTCAAGTGCTTCAGACGTGTGTTTCAAGTGTTTCATCTGGATGTTGCATAAGTAGATCTGGATGTTACATATACATGCATGTTGCAAACGTATGCAAGTGTTTTAGGTGTTTTATACATATGTTGCAAGTGTTTCATCCAGATGTTGCCCAAGTAGATCAGATGTTGCATATGTTTGCAATGGCTACACACGTGTTTTAAGTGTTTGCAGATGTTTTGGACGTATGTTGCAATTGTTTCATCTGTTTCGGGCATAAGTTTCAAGTGATTTATTTGAATGTTGCAAAAAGTAGACCTGGTGTTGCACATGATGCAATGGGACCCACCTGCCACAGCTGCTCGCTACAGCTGCTGGGACGCCGCCGTGGGTCACCGAGCCGCCTTAGGTCGGTAGATGCATCTGCGGCGCGCATCCACGGGCGAGGCAGGTGACTGGAACCCATGTGGTTTCCCGTGTGCGGGCGCGGCATTCTGGTTGGGAAGCAGCATGGGTTGTGGGAACAGGTCATCACGTGTGAAGTGTGCGGGCTTCGTTCTGTTATGCGGGGACGATTCACTCGAGTGTTCCAATCGTTGTTTTTTGTTGCGGGTTCGATCGGATGGGTGGAATCAGATAGCGTTGCAGGCTGGGTGGGGACTGCGTCCGGACACATCCTAGGGCCGGATGTCCGGGCGCGTCCTGCCCCATTTATATATTCGTTTACATCGTCATAGCGAGCAGCTGGCGGCTTGTCGCTCTCGTAGACATATTTTTACCTCACCTAGTCACCATCTACATGGATCGGCCGGCCGTTATATAATTTACAGTTATGCAACTTGCAGATGATTAACAGCGACATCTTTTCAATAATACATTGGCTTATTAACTTATTTTCGGGGCCTTGGACTCTCGGAGGTATCGGTACACTGCTTTTATTAGGATTATTACTAAATTAATTAATTCTAACGATCTGCCAATAGGCTGCTCCTTGACTTAGTTTACGATACTCAGCCAAAACCGCCGGCCGGATTAAAATATGTACTTGTACAACACGCTTTGTAGTCTACGTGTGTCTTTTGGCTGCTGATTGCCAGGCTGCTAGCACTCCAGTTTTCAGTTACTCTGCTATTTCATACATTAGCTCTGCTTTGCACTGCTCAAGGTCTGCAAAGGTCAATGGCCTCCAACTGATTAAAGAAGTCTTCTTATATCCTCCTTTGCCATCTCGTTACACTTGCAGAGATAACAGAAGTGCAGAACATTCGAATCAGAGTCTTGTCATCAGGTATATTTAGTTCTAGTATCTCTGAGATCATAGTGATTCTTCTCGCCTACTTATAAGTGCATATATTTTTTGTGTGTTTGTGATACTCTCACGAAATCAATTTCATGAGGGTGACTCTCACGAAATACCAAACTCTCACGAAATCCATTTCATGATGGTGACTCACGAAATACCAAACTCTCATGAAATCAGTTCACGAAGGTGACCTCTCACGAAATACCACAAAAAACAATCATGAAAACACTGATGCAAACCTGGCGACAACGTTATTTTCATGAGGGTGGCCGCCACGGACTTCCTGTCATGAAAATAATCCATGGCGGTGAACTCTCACGAAAATGTGATTTTCACGTGTCTATTATCTGTGAGAGTTGATGCGTCACGGTGTACCCTCATGCATTATTTTTGTGAGCATAAAATCATATTTCGTGACGTATTTTGCACTCTCACAAAATCTATGGATTATGGATTCTGGTAGTGGTTCCAGGTGCTGCCATATGGGTTGCACACTTGCACTGGATGAGTGAGTTGTCCGTGAAGGAAAAGGAAGCAGTGTTCCAAGACTGCCATTGTGAATAAGGATTGAAACGGCGGCCAGAGGGGGGCGGGGGTGAACGGGAGCCTCAATTTTTTCGCGCCGAACAGATGAACAATTTATGGGCTATGTCCCAAAATCAATCCACGAACTCAATTAGCATTAGCCAATATCACGTAGTCACAGAGGTATTATGGACTTAAGAAACTCGGCTAGAAAGATGCGGAGGCAAACAGAGGGCAAAACAGGTGAGATCGAGAACTCACCGCAGATGTAGCATGGGCTGATTTTGAAACCAGCCTGGGCTAGCATATCGACCAAGGCTGGTTTTCCATAACTCAGCACATGGAAGAACAAATATAAAAACCTAATCAAATAACCTCCAAAAATCATGAAATTTTGGGAAGGAGTTTCTCCACAAAAAACAAGTTTAATTGGAGCAAGTTGAAAAACTGGCCTATACTAGTTTTTGTTGTTTTTCGCAGAATCCTCTCTAAGAAAAACTCGACATCAATTCAAATGAGTTCCAAAAAAGCTGAAACTTTGAACATACCTTGGATAACCCTGAGAGTCTATCCCCAAGAGATCAAGTCAAAAAAAATCAAAGCTTGAATAGGAATTTCAGAATCCCTCTCTCAAATTGGGGTTTTGTAAAGAATCCTCAAAATGATGATTTTTGGTGCTCATAGGAAATTTGTGAAAACTAGTGACTGAAATGTTCCCAAGGCCTCATAGCACTTAAAAGGCAACCAAGAACAACCCAGAACCTTCAGCTCAAAGATCTCCAAGAAAATCACCTGAGAAGGCTTGAAAAGAAGAGTTTTCGGGCCTTGAACCAAGAGACTAGAAGCTGGGCTTCAAGACATGGTTTAGATAAGTTCCAAGGGTTCTAAAGACTCACAAAAAAGTGCCAAACAATCAACCAAACCAGCAGTACAAAAATATCCCAAAATCGACCATGGAAATCAATGAAAAAGGGAAATGTGAAGGAGGAAAAGAACGAATGAAGTTGAAATTTCAGCAAAAACTTCGATTACCAAACTATAAATTCACCTGTACATCAGATTAGCCTCCTATTGAACATCCTTCCACTTCACATAAGACACTAACCTAAGAGGTAGTCACTCCTCTCTGGACTAATCTCTCTAAACAATGGAGCTCTTGGCTAATCCTAAGGAAATAGCAAGGGGTGAAAAGATGGTTGTCTTGGACATCCACTTCTCTTCTGTATAGGGATATTACACATGTCCAAGAATGCCCCTAGCTTTAGACTTGAACCATTTAGCCTCTAAGGGAGAAATGGTCTAACTTGATTTCCATGCATCGGAAAGCCACGAGCCTTTCATTAAGTCGCTTCGCCTCAAAACAGGCTCTTCGATGACGCCACGCGCTGTCCCTAGATCACCCATTTTTTAGGACCCAACCCAGAAATTACTCCACCTATGGTTTTGAGTCCCAAACCACCAAGCCCTCCGCAATGCACGTAGCCGCTATGGAAAGTCAGCGGTCCACCCAAGTTCCACCGGCCACTATACACTTGCCAATAATAACAACAGTACAACTATTTTGACTAAATTAAAGCTGGTGATAGACAATACAATAAAATGGCCAAACAGCTGAGAGTAAGCTGACTGGTAATAAGTTGGCTCATGGACACCAGATATTTTCACGTAATACACTAGGCCAGCAGCAGACTCCAATCTTCACAAACTAGACCTATGCTTATTCATAAAAATGATTACACAGCTCAATTGCGGAAACAAAAAAAATACAAACATCACTAGGATTAATCCATTCTGAGTCATATGTAACAATAAACACAAAGTTCGTCTCTGAACTATGCTGATTCACATCAACAATACACAGTCTGGATAGGGCAACATTGATTTGAATTGATTTGATTTTGGAAAACAATGTCACGAAACATTTGACTGACTAGATAGACGATTCTGATTTATATATAAATGATACCTCATTAAGATGAGAATGAGAGTGACATTAGTGATAACTGAGGCCTCTGAGAGCCGAAGACGACTCACTCCTCCATAGGCATGGGTGAATCAAGCTCAGACGACGTTCCTGAAGATTCTTCGACGGAGCAAATCAGGTTCTTAACATATTTAAGTCCAGGTCGGAGATTTTCCAGCACGAAAAGATTGCCTTCCATACGGGCTTTCCCAATAATCTTCCTGATCCTCCCCCTCATAGAGCTACTAGGTTCCTTGAATGTAACACCCTCCTTAAAGGTGAACAGCACTTGCATTGTAGGGTACTGGCTCAGAATCTGGCCAACGGAAACCAGATTTGCAACCGCACCGGGAATACAGAGTACACCGTCGAGTCTTACCTCAGGACAATCTATGTAGCCCACTTCTGTAACTGCGAGTACGGCACCGGATACTCCCGTGACATATTTTATTGGTGACCTGACGTTTAGATGTGCAGGGTACAATTGTAGAAGTGATCGGTCCTTAGTGATGTGGTAATATGCACCCGAGTCCACAAGAAACAAATTCGCGGGTTGCTGATTTACTGTTGACGCCACAAGGGCTTCACAAGTGCGGTACCAACTAGAAGGGTTCACATCCAGTTCCAGATCCCTGCAACATAATATATGTAGCAAACGTTATTGCGACTTGCACGATAAATAAAAGTAGTAATGGAAGAAAGACTTAACATGGAAAGCCCTCATCCATTCCAAACTGCAAGTCATTCCTGTTTTTCTTGATATAATATATATCTAAGTGTGTAGCAAATCTATATACCTAAAAGGCAGTCCGACTTATAATTTATAATTGAGGGAGTATTGTAAAAAGAGGTAACAAATGACACTACTACAGAAAGAATTTGTAGCAACATCTCTTTTTTTAGAGGCGGCTCAATCTAAAAGCACCCCTAAAAACGGTTACCTAAATGAGCCGATTGATAGGGGCAGCTGGTGTTATCAGCCGCTCCTATAATTGACCCTATTTGTAGAGACGGTTCTAGATCCAGCCGCCCCTACAAATCGACGTCGAATAGTAAAAATTAAGTATTGTAATTCGAATTTTTTAAACGACCTTGGATAAAGAAACAACCAAAATAAAGTTGTAGATCTCAAAAAGTTATACAAATTTATAGTTGACAACTTTTTTCATTTAAAATCATCTTGTCTAGGAAAACTATGTTTGAATTTCTCACAATTTAAATTTAAATTTTTCAAACGACCTCGAACGGAGAAACAGCAAAACCGAAAGTTGTAAATCTCAAAAAGTTATACAACTTTAGAGTTGACCGCTTTTACATTTGAAATCATCTAGTTGAGGATAATTACGTCTAAATTTCCACTACTTGAAATTCAAAATTTTCGAATGACCTTGGATGGAGAAACAACAAAATTGAAAGTTCTAGATCTTGAAAAGTTATACAACTTTGTAGTTAACCACTTTTCCATTTGAATTCGTCTAGAGTTCCAAACACTCTTTTTTAATTCGGTGAAGCATAATATAAGTAGAAAGAATATCTGATATATGTGCAAGTGACAGTTGGGGAGTGGTTAGAGGAGGGAACGCGCAAGCTTGAGGTTGTGGGTTCAAACCCTGGTAGCCGTAAAGCGCGCGTTTTTCACACGATAAAATCACGTGACTCATGACTGCCGGATGGGGCCTCCAAGGATTAAATAAAATTCTTTTGCTATTTTTTTGTCCGGATTTGTGAATTCTGGAAAACGAAGTCGCCCCTACAAATCCTTAGCCATCCCTACAAATTGATTTATAAGGACAGCTAGCAAACCGCCCCTACAAATCCTCAGTCGTCCCTATAAATCGATTTGTAAGGGCGGCTAAACCACCCCTACAAATCAGTGATTTATGGAGATGCCTGGTGTCGGATACCATAAAAAGGGGTACCCTAAGCAGAAACCGAAAAGATTGCTTAGACCTTGTAAATATCAAAACCAAAGGACAACCATGGGGTCTCGGCCGATTCTCCGATTCGCTTGAGGCCCGCGCCGCAAAGGCCTCGGACGAAAGGCCAACTCTCCGCCTCACCGAGGCCCTCTCGCCGAGGCCCTCTCACCCGAGACCCTGCCCCGCAAGGCCTCGGACGGATTACCGATTCTCCGATTCGCCCAAGGCCAGGCTCGGCAACAACCTCGTCGCCTCCGTCTCGACCGACCTCTCTGACAAAACGTCACGCGTCCAACCACTCCCATAACGTCGGCCGCATTGCGTCGGCCAAGATGTTGTGAGAATGGCCGATGAGGAGCGGAGTCACATTGACGCCAGCGATCGGGGGACAGGGGCTCGCCAGAGGTTACCGGCCCGCCGTGCTCGCAGCATGCCCATGATCGATGCCCGTCTTGCCTTTGTGCGACCTAACTCCTGCTCCGAGAACAGCGCGACGTGGAGAGTCAGTTCCAGGTCCCCGTAGCCTCGTAATCGGACCAACTGCTCACGCTCCGCCTCGCCCGAGACCCCCAGGCGGGGTCTTGGACGTACTGTTCCAACTCCGCCTCGCCAGAGACCCCCAGGCAGGGTCTCGGACGTACTGGTCTAGCTCCGCCTCGACCAAGGCCGGGCTCGTCCCGCATCCTCGCCGCCTCCGCCTCAACCGTCCCTATGGCAGGATGTCCCATCCATTTAATGCGCCTGAACGCACCCGCTACGTCAGCCACGACCGGCGGTGTATAGCAACAGGGGCGATGGGACAACGGTCAAATCACCCTTTTTTACCATCCCTTACTGATGATGCAGGGGTTACCATGCCCTGCGGACTCACGCCCTACAGTTTTCCTCCTAAACCGGGTACGACGCTGATCACCGAGGACCCCGCATCGTACACAGGTCACCTTCAGGGCCTCGGCAGAACAGGCCTCGGCGCGATCAGCTACAAACACCCGCCAGGCCTCGGCACTCCACCAAGTCAAAGGTCCACAGGGCTCGGCATGTCTCCTACAGTGGAGGCCACGCTAACTAGACATCAACAGGGACTCCCACGACCTCAACAGCCTCGGGCATGGCCGGCGTGACGCACCAGTAATCAAGTACCGATTGCCATTCCCAACACCATGCTGCTACATGAGTGGGCTACAGTACTAGATCTTCCTTCTAAGGCTCCACGTATAGCTCTCTCATGTACTCCTGGCTCCCTCCTTGCAGTTATAAAAGGTGGCAGCCAGGGCCGTTTCTAAGGATGGAGACCACACCCGCACTCATGCGCAAACGCACTCACTCAACCCACACGACGGAAAAGACACTCCGTAATACACACGCTCCCCCCGCTGCCTGAGAGCAACGTCTCAAGCAGCCCGCACCGCCTCACGCAGAGACCTGGGACTAGCTCCCTCTCTCGCCCAGCTTGTAAACCCCTACTACAAGCACCTCAGTGCAAGGAATACAAGATCGCACTCTCGGACTGGATGTAGGGCACCTATTGCCTGAACCAGTATAAACCTTGTGTCTTCTTGCATCACCATCCGGGATAGGGGCACGCAGTACAAATTCACTGGTTGGTTGAGGACCCACCTAGTCTGAAACACCGACAGTTGGCGCGCCAAGTATGGGCAATACTGCGTGTTAGCTTCATCATCCCAATAAGTTCCGGATGGCAGACCCCATACGACTTCTACGTCTCGGCACGGTGGTCTAGTTTGGGAGCCTAGAGGTCATGTCTCTAGGACGTGAGTATGATATGGTACTCCTAACGCCCAGAGCCCCGTTGGTCGACAATGACATGACGCACCTGCAGCCCAGGCGCAGGCGGTGCCCGGGCCACCGCTCTCGTTACACTCGCCAGGCACGGCGTGAGCGGGGCCACCCCGACACCGCACGAGCTCAGGGTGACGCGCCGCGCTCAGCCACTATCCCGTGCCCGGCTGCTGGTACAGAGTCCCTGGTTGGGGACCTGTCTAGCTTAAGCCTGGGCCAAGGAAAGACGCCGGTGGCGCGCAGCGATGCCCTGCCATCAAGCTCTGCCCCGCCACGTCCTGAGGAATCGACCTCGGCGGGGAGGAACCCGACAATGGCACCATCCCCGTACCTCTTCGGGTTGAGCAATGTCACCGCCGCCTACGCCTCCGCTCACGCAGAGCCCTCAGGACACCACCAACGTTTTGCCCTCGACTTCTTCGCCACATCCTCGACCCACACCCACGCTGATTCCTCAGAGGAGGATGAGGCGTGGGCCGGAGCGGACTTCTCTGGGCTTCGCGACCCTGAGGCTATGCGCCGCTTCATGGCCGCGAGCGACTACTGCTTTGGTTACTCTCACTCCGATGACAAAGGCACTTATGACCCCACTCGTGAGTGCTTCGTCGTCGAGCTCAGGATGTCGACAGCAGGCGATGAAGACGAAGGGGCAGACAATCGCTCCCCGCCCCGCGTAGGGGCAGGCGACGCCACACCTCCGCGCGTCGAACGTCCGGCAGCACGGAACGAGAACCCCACCCATGCGGGACTTCAATGCTTGACTTGGAGCAGCTCCGTGAGCTCCAGGCCAAGGTCCAACAAGACCAATTCCTCCTGCAGCAGCTCCGAGACACTCTCGAGCGAGAGCAGGGGGGTCGCGGCGATGGCGGAGCGGCCCGGTGGAGGGCTCGCGACATGTACCACCGCATCAACAACGATGAGGGGGGCGAAAAACCCCCTATCTTCAATCGCGCTAGCCAGAACATTGCGGCAGCGGCAATGTTAGTCCGAAAGATGCCCAAGCCATCTACCTCGGAGGGGCAACAGGTCCACGGCGAGCTCCGAGGACTTATCGAAACCGCCATGGTACAGCAGGCCGAAAGCTCCGCGTCTCGATGGCGCGGGGACACCTCGAAACGGCCCTCGGTGCACGACCGCCTCAAGGCCCCCTCAGTTCACGACCGCCTCAGCGACCGGCGTGAGGCGCAAGAGGACCACGATGTGGTCAGTAGGCGACGGCGCCACGACAACGATGGCCTCGCCCGAGGCTACCACCCGCACCGAGGTGGCCGCTACGACAGCGGGGAGGACCGCAGTCCTTCTCCTGGGCTGCCTGGCCCTAGAGTCTTCAGCAAGGCCATCCGCGGTGCCCCATTCCCTGCCCGGTTTCGACAACCGGCCAGCCTCACAAAATACAGCGGCGAGACCAACCCCGAGTTGTGGCTAGCCGATTACCGCCTGGCTTGTCAGTTAGGCGGTACGAACGATGACCTGCTCATCATTCGTAACCTCCCCTTGTTCCTGTCAAACTCGGCGCGAGCCTGGCTCGAACACCTCCCTCCCTCGTAGATTCACAATTGGCGCGACTTGGTCAAGGTCTTCGTCGGGAACTTCTAGGGCACATACGTGCGCCCCGGGAACTCCTGGGACCTCAAGAGTTGTCGCCAGAGGCCAGACGAGTCTCTCCGAGACTTCATCCAACGCTTCTCCAAGCAGTGCACCGAGTTGCCCAGCGTCGGCGACTCGGAAGTTGTCCAGGCTTTCCTCTCCGACACCACCTGCCGAGACCTGGTCCGAGAGTTAGGCCGAAACATACCAACCTCGGCGGCCGTGCTCCTTGACATCGCCACCAACTTCACCTCGGGTGAAGAGGCTGTCGGGGCCATCTTCCCCGACAGCAACGCAAAGGGGAAGCGGAGGGACGAGGCCCCCGG